AATACGCACATCCCTTCATTCTCCGGGAACTGACAGGAGCGTTCTGTCAGTCAACAGATACCGTTGATGGAGAAAGTTAATCCCTCATTAAGTTGGTAAAGATGTGCATATCAAAAACTTTAATTAAAACAAATAAAGGGAGAATTTTACTCCTCAATGTACTGTACTACCATAATATTGGTTCTTCTACTTTACTCACTTATTTATTCTTACATGATACAATTATTAGCATCATAATATTAACACTATATGTATATATATTATTATTTTATTCCTCTTTTCCTACACTCATATTGCTCACACTGACCCTGTTGTTGTTTATAATGTTGTAATTGTTCCATGTTTTGTCTTGTTGTATGTGTGTCTATTCAAATTGATGTACCATGTAAATAAATACATAAATGAAAAAGCTGGTAATGACATGGACCCTGTGGCCTACGTGGCGTCTATGAGTCCAGAGGAGAGAGCGGCTCGTACAGTAGCACTTCACAGCATTGGTGTCGATGCTAACGGTCACTTAGCTCGAGGACAGAGCTGCAGTGAGTGAAGGTCCGCGTTTGCAAACAGTTTCCGTGTTATCGCCATCACTGTCTATATTCCTCACAGTGGTCTTCATCATCACTGTTTACATTTATGATGTCTTATTTATTCTCCTGTACAGCACTTTGGTCCACTTTGGTTGTTTTTAAAGTGCTTAACAAATAAAGTTGGATTGGATTGGATTGTGGCTACTTGCAGTGTTTCTTTATTTGGTTGTGTTCTCCCACATGCAGTGTGTCGACCTCTCAGGGCCACCGTAGTTATCAGTGCAATGGTCTGCATTTGAAAGATCTCATTTAATTTTTTTAATGATTTTTTTTGTGATCTGAAAACAATGTCACAAACTCTCCCACAGGAACAGAAATATTAATATAAATGAATATGAAGCCATAACTAAGTGTTTAAAGTTGGACTTTTTCAAATAGGTGTGTATGTTCGGACATGTTTTTAGTGTTTTCTGTAGTATACTATGAAGGATCATCCAGATGAAACAACATTACAAATGAAATACATTTTTTTCTCAATTAGAAAACTGTGACTCACTTTATTCTTGTCTAAATTTGTGATAATAGATGTTATTTAAACAAATCCTATAATTAATTCAATTAAATGAATAATTAGGCAGATTTTTTCACCTTTCTAGCTGCAAATGTAAAATATCAGAGTGTTTTTCTTGTAGCTTCAGAGCAGGTGTTTTTAGTTGTACCTTTATATCAAACCAGGCTTGTGCTGCTGAAGAGCCACAACCACACACACACAGGGCCCACAGCGGAGCCTGAATGTGTATTGGAGCCAGACGGACCATACCTGGCCTTTCACTGGACTCCCATTCATAGTCAAGGTGAGGGCCAAGGCCCGGGTAATGAGCCCTCAGTCCCAGCAGCGAGGTGGCGGAGGCAGGCCGTTCTGGATCGTTCTGTAAATGGCTTCATAAACTCATTAGTGATGGATGTGCGTGGACAGGAAAGGCCGAGATTACAGTGCCTGTTAAATGTGTCGGGCAGGCGAGAAAACTATCCCCCTTTCACCTCAATAATAATGATGATGACAGTGTTTCTCCATGCTTTTGTTTCATTCAATCATGTGTGAACTGAGTTGGAAGGTGAGACAGAACAGACTCTCTGCCGCTCTTATTTCTGAACAACATAAGTCAGAAGATTTAAATAATATTTGTTGCATCCATCGTTTGGAGATCGCGACTTCGATCTTTAAAGCTCCTCACGTGAAGTTACTTTTTATAGCTCTAAATAAGAGCAGAAGGGGTTAAACCTTGTGCTTTTTCAAGGTTTGTGCAGGTATAAACAAGTTAAATGTAAAGACTTTTTAGGACCTTTAGCAATGCAAGACTTATTTTACATCCATCCAGTCAAAAAGTTCAAAGGATACGAAAGAAAAACATCTTTAGTTATTTGTATTAGATTTTAGACTTTTTAAGACATGTAAAACCACTTTTACTACCTGACATTCATCTCATATTTTTCCTGGGAAACTTTTACTAGAGACCAACTAAATCCAGAGGTGGAATGTAACTAAGTACATTTACTCAAGTACAAATTTGCTGTATTGTACTTTTGACTTCACTACATTTACAGGTATAGTCACTAAAATCTTCAATCAAAAGTTAATATATGAAGTAGATCAAATGAGCTCAAAGTCATCCATATGTTAATGCAGCAGTATGATCCGATATTAATACGTGTCAACCTGCATAATGAGTACTGTTATGGCACATTTTACTCTTAATTCTTTGTACTTTTGTTTAATATAAAGTTAAAAACAGGACATGTAATTTGTATTTATGTTTGTTATGTTTTGTATGTATTTTTATGATGTATAATACTTCTTTCTCACAGGAAAAATTTGATTCTAAATTATTCTCCATCACTGACAGACTACTGTGATGTTTTCAAAGTAAGATAAGTTAATCTTTTATGCATCTTCACTATCTAACACATGCCAAATGACTTTTATTTTTACTTAAATACTACCCTGTGTCATACATGACACAGTTTAACATGCAAAAGGTGTGACCAGCAGGCAACCAATGCATCTATCTTTACATGATTTTATAACTTTAACCTTGGGAAAAAAACTAATCCAGAAAAACATGAGCCACTATTTTGCATATGACAAACAACAGATACTGAATGAATGAGTGCTGATGAGGAGTTTCAAGCTTTTGGTGAGAGCCTCATTTAGGGACGATGGCCCGTAGAGCTATTAGAAAGCAGCCCTTCAGCTTCTTTCTCCTCTCAGGCCATGACTATGAAAAGAGGACCCTCTGTGACAATGGGTCCGTGTATTCCTTGTCTGGCTCCAATACACAAGCAGGGCACGTTGCCTTCCCTGCAAGCAACACTGCAGCTCTGTCATTAGAGGACACTGAGGTTCCACTCCTAATATCATGAAAACAGTGTCTGTTCTGTGAAGCAGAATATTGGAGGAGCACTCGGCTGAAAATGGGAATAAAAAATCTCTCTTCAGTCTTTCCCACTTTGTGTGGCAACTAATGATTATGTTTAATATGGATTCACATTTAAAAAGGTTCCATCACAAGTTCCCCCCTCTCAAGGTGATACCTTCAGATGTCTTGTTTTATACAACCAACTGTCCAAAACTCACAGATCTTCAGTTTCCTTTGATGGAAAACAAGCAAATATTCACATTTGACAAACTCCATTTTTACTTGAAGGATTAATTTACTATAAAAGTAGTTGTTGATTAATTATTTTGATTCAAAAACTTCAGCAGGTGTCCACAACTGGACACTTGAAGAATCATATTTAATCTAAAAGACTTCATTTGTTTTTAAAAGTTGAGTTAATTACACTTATTTTAATTGGTTTCACTTATTAATCAAAATGTCTAAACTCATCTCTGATCTGATCTCACTGCTTCACTGAATTGAACCTAACTGATTTATTTTTTCAAGCTGATTTGCCTGAAACATCTGAAATCTTGCCATTAAACTTGAAGTGTTCCTGTTAAACAAAGGGTCTCGACACTAAACGTGAACGCAGAGATTTGTCAGGACAGAGGTTTTCTGCAGTGCACGCCAGCAAACAGGGGCCCTGGGGTGGGTGGTCCGGGTCGTGCAGGCATCAGAAGAAGCGCCCTTATTGTTCAGGGCAGGTCGAGAAAGTCTGTGTTTGCCTTCTTCATTAGACATTCTAGTGTCAGTGAAAGAGGATAAATAAAACGCTCCCAGGTCAAAGGGAAGGAGCGGTTCGCTTCGGTGTTTAAATGTGTTTTAACAGTTACTTAAGGCTCGGGAGAAACTCTCTGCCACCTCCAAATGATGGAAATGAGCCTGGAAAGTTTGCAGAGCTGGCAATAATCCAAGTTGAAAGAGAGGATGTCTTTGTCCTCGGGTAGTGTAAGAAAGCAAATCACTTCCTTTAAAGAAGCCGCGGAGCGCTTCATCTCCAAACTAATGAGAACCCGATATAAAACAAAGCAGTTTATTCCTTGTGTAAAGTGTGTTTCAGAATAAGGGTCTCCGAGTAGCCTGATGAGACTTCCTTTCATTTTAATTCACACATTTAATTTTGTATTTATACACAATAAATAAATCCACCGTCGGATTTAAGGCTTTAGAGCAACTTGGATTGTTTCGGGACTCCACCGGCGCGCAGGCCTTTCCCAGTCCGAGCAGCCGCATTCAAAGGATGGGGACAGGATCAACCTGTGGATTAACGCGGTGGCTGAGATTAGTGGAGTTGCAGTTTGGTTAAACCAGCAGCACCACTCTGTCACCACACCCGAGCCGCTGGATTTGACGCCTCTATTACGCAGGGCACTTATTCAATACTGGGAGCGACACCGCTGCTGTTAAAAGGCACACTTTGGAGATAGAGCGCATTCATTTTATACAGGAAAAAGATTATGGACTGTTTACATACAGGAGTGATCCTTGGTTTGCAACTGCTTGAGAAAAAAACAGAAATTAAAGACCCAAATATTCTCTAAATTGGATGGAAAAGTGTCAAAAAGAATGAAGAGTATAAAAGTATAAACCAACAGCAGAGTCTCTGTCGGTTGTGCAGCTTGAAGTCGGCCTCCAATTGTGAAGCGACTTGTTACGCTGCTTAAAGCATCTGTCGGCCAGCCAGGACTTAAAAGGCTCCAAATAAGATGATTTGGTAACATCAAGGCTTTCCCAGCGGTAATGATTACATTTGGACTTAAGATCCATGCAAGAATTTGTAGCCCAGTAAATCTCTTGAGTTCCCTGCCCCCACCGCTCTTCAAAAGCATTGTCATTCAAAGGGTTAGGATGTTTGACAATCCCAGCTTGTACTACTCCACCAATTAATTGGATACGTTGTCGGGATGTTCGTTTCTCTCATCTGCTACTTAGAAAGACAAAGGATCGATGGGGGGTTGTTGACACCTCTGTGTCCGGCCCGGGTATAAATGCGGACCGTCGGCAGATGAGCAGCATTCACTTCCCTGCTGCACTTGGAGCAACAACTTCTGCAAAGACCTTCGAGATCTGATTTTGCAGCGTTTTTAAACAACTGGGAGAATGCAGGTGCCGAACAGACCAGTCGGAGCTTATGGATACTCTGTGCGTAATTACGCACCAGCATCGCTGTACCCGCAGTACCAGGGGAGCCAGTGCGCGTCGTCAACGAAGCCTCCCAGTGGGAAATCTTTCACTATTGATGCTTTGCTTGCCAAGCCGGAGGACACGAACAGCTGCCGGAGGAGTCCCACTCTGTGCGGGGAGAAATATCAACCAGCAGCGCCGGTTCTGCCTCTCACCGGACACGTAGGCTTACCGATATCAACAGCACCTTACGTCTACTCACCGGGCATGTTGCACTCAGCGGTCCACACACAACCTGGATATTCAGTCTACTGCTGCCCCCCCTTCACCTACCAGTCATCGTGCCCTGGAGCATTTTACGCACAAGGTAAATAGTTGTTCTCATCGCTTACTGGAACCATGAGAGCCATAGAAGTCCAAATGTCAAGAATTAAATCATATTCACGTGGCAGTGTGATTAAATGTGTCTTCTTCTTTTTCTTTGCAGCCTCAATGTCCAAAGTCAACGCAGGGCTGCATTCGTTCAAAACCAAAGGTGGGAAGTCCAAACGAATGCGCACCAGTTTCACCAGCGAGCAGCTCTCTCGGCTGGAGAAGGAGTTCGCCCGGCAGCAGTACATGGTCGGATCAGAGAGGTTCCTCCTGGCCTCCGCTCTACAGCTCACAGAAGCTCAGGTAAGAACATGGATGCTGAAGATCTGACTTGAGGCGTTTAAAGTGCAGCCTTAGAGACCCACATATAGTTCTTACTGCAGTATTTCTAACATGCATCTTCTTTTGTCTCCAGGTCAAAGTCTGGTTCCAGAACAGACGCATCAAGTGGCGCAAACAGAGTCTGGAGCAGCAACAGGCCAAGCTGGCCAAACTGGGCCTGGCTGCCCCACCGAAAAGTCCCGGATCTCAAGGTCACGGGGATGAAGGAGATGAGGATGAGGAGTTCTCCGACCTGGACGTGGATATTGATGTGTCTGATGGCTCCACTGACCACTGCTGAGCGAACACCACTGGTGGACTGTGTGAAAAGACTTTGTGTACATACAGCTGAGAAAGGAGGCCTGTGGCTCCAACTATGAATATTTAATAGATGTATAGTTATATATTTAATTTTTTTTTTTACATTTATTGCTCTTCACTTCATGAGTTCAGTTTTTGTATATTGAACGAAAGAAATATATTAGAAATATATTTTATGACATTAATGGCAACTTTGTCCTGCTCATTGTTTTTATTCAGTGCTGTTGAATGTTTCAGAAGTTAAAAGGCGACATTTTGTGAAAATCTGCATTTCCTATTTGCACATGTAAGAGTTGAACAGATGGATCCCATAAAAACCCTGAAAAAAAAAAAAACACTAAATCAGCTTCTGTTGCATCATTTTCTACCAGTGAAAGAAGTTTGGAGAGATTTCTGTCTGACTCAAATCACAATAATATAAGGCTCAGTTGTTGAGTGTATTTATTCTAATAATAAGTGAGTAATTATATTTTCACTGTGATTGTGGCTTATTTAGTCAGTCTTATTAAATGTAGAAGATTTGAAACCAAATTTTCAGGGGCCATTAAAGCACCCATTTACATTAAATATCAGGTATTTTGTCCAGTTAACAGCTGGTGGCTCATTTCAGCTACAACTACACACAACAACAACACCACATAGAGAACATTTATTAGAACATTTTAATTCTCAAAGTAAAGTTAAAGCTCAAAATGAGATTCTGCTCACTGAACAATAAGAAGAGACTTTTTCAACCCTAATTTAAATCTTAATAACCAAGTGTTTGCCTTCAACCTTGAGGGTTTGTTAATCTGCACATTAGTATCAGAATTTCTCTCACAAGAGTTGAGTTATGCTTTATTAATCCCTGTAGGGAAAGTCATTCTCTGCATTTGATCCATCCTGAGTACTGGGGGCAAAAAGGGAGGAGAGAAAATCTGTCTCCTCTCTAATGTATCCCAATCAAATCATCATCCTCCCCTTTGACCTCTCCTTATTGCTTCTCTCTGTACCCAGTTTGAAGATGATGGAGACATGGAAAGACATTTCCTCCCGGGTTTGATCTCCGTTTATGCTTGAAGTCTGGGACGGACTCGGGTTCCCCTCTGATATAAGCTAAGCAAATAAATAACCAGCTCAGGGATTAGCTGGGATATCTGTAACCCAGGGTGGTAGGGGTCAGTCTGTCTCGGGGCTAGAGAGCTGGGTCTCACTGTTTAATCTCCTTAAACGGTCAATACGCCTGTTCTCACTGCTCCTCAATGGACGGGGGCTCCCACATGCCCACCCACCGCCGGCAGGTGTCCTGTCTCTGCTTTATTCAAACTCCACGTCTTTCCCTCCAGGTGGAAAGGGGCTCACACTGTCCGCTGAAGCCTGCCTGGCAGACATGAGGGATAGAACAGGAGAGAGGACAGCGTGGAGAAAGGATTGGGATGTAGCAAATGAGTCCATCAGAGCAGCTAATTGGGGGGTCAACCTGAAAGTCCCGTCCTGCAGAGAACTTGGTCGTATAAGACAAAGGGATGGGAACAAGAGCCGTAGCATTCATCTCTTGATCTTTTCAAGAAGTTATTAAATTAAATATTTACATATATTTATTGGTTTCTATTACAAAGATAATGCTGATAATGAATCAAGAGGTAAATGAAGATGTGTGGATAGAATATTACAAGCAAAAAAGTTCATATAGAGTTGTTATATGTAGATTTATATCTCCTGCTTTGCTTTAACAATAAACGGTCATTGTAAAAGAATTGTAAAAAATCAAACAGATATATAAACCTGATGTCTAATATTGACAATTTGTAATCAATTAGCCACAGTGGAACAAGTGGAAACGGAAGACTAATCAAATTTCATGCAGGACAAAACCCTGAAACACACGTGCAGCCAGCTGCTATATAGCTCTTATATAAAGGAATAATATCAATCGAGCGTTTGGTTCTACGGATTCAGCTCCATCTATATCAGTGGCTCCCAACCTTTTTTTGGCTTAGCTTGACCCCTTAAAATGAAGCAGATAGTGACTCCTAACAACGTTAAAAATGTAGTATTCTGTAAGACTGTAACTGGAGAAAAAGTCAGAAATATATACTAAATACTTAGTGTCTTTTTCTTTCTTTCTTTTTATTATTTAGTGAACATTTTTCACCATATAAAAATTCTGCCTTAAAAATGTGTAAAAAACAGAACTAGAAAACAGAATAGAAATTGAAATTAATAAATTGTGAATGGAATCAGGAGATCAATGCCGCAGTCCGGCCAAATAATAATCAGCCAAACATCACACAACACAGTTTTTAAACCTTCAGAGCGTTCAAACTTTACACCCTTTTCCGCCCCTCAATTTCACTGTTTCTGTGGTTACTGCTCTGTGCCTCTGTGAGACAGGATACTGTTTAGCATGTTGGTTCCTTATCAATGTGACTAAACTCCTACAGAATGACTAAATCTACCCTTTCCTCTTTCTTTTGCTCTATTGCTTTTAAATGCAATTATTTCCTATGCAAAACGTATTTCAGAATAAAGGTCGCTCTTCCAAGGGCAACAGAACAAAACAAAGAAGAAACTGAGCAGAAACTCAGCAACTCTGACTTTTACCTTTTTAAATAATAACTTTTAGTAATGTTGATGTATGTTGGGATATTTGTTCTGTTTTTACACTCGATAAAGACTGCTGACAACTCTAACTATCCAATAACTGCAGGCAGCAGAGGTGCTGGAAGAGGGAGAAGACGGCTGGTAACAGTATCAAAGGGAAAAAGTTTAATAAACAGTAACAGAGTTGATCTCTTTCTCCTGTCCGCCACCCCCCGCCTGCTCTCTCCTGGTGTCCCTGCTTGGTCTGATTAGGGCTGGAGCGCCGCTGAAGGAGCAGAATTTGTGTAAAAACCCCAGAGAGCCGTTTCTGATGTGATCAGCCGGGAATCAGAGCTCCCCCTCCCCTCCGCTCTCTGCGGCCCAACGTAATCCCATTGAGGTAAATAAAGAAGCAGTCAGAGGCCTGGGAAAACCTGGAGAGTCCTGGGGAGGGGAGGGGCGGGGGTCACCGGGCTCATCGTCCCAATTAGCACAGGGCACCTTAACGGCTGGAAACATGCCAACGCTGGCTGGGTTAAGACTCTCTACGGGGTCTGAACTGAAGCTTTTCATGAAAGGCAACTGTCACATCTTCATTTGCTCTTATTAGCTCTTTAGGTATTTTTAGTTAATCCTCAGTAGATGGTAGATTGTGTCTTAGCTGGCTTGTACTGTATTTTATAGAGCTAAAACAGTTAATTGATTGGTTAATAAATGAATCTGCAGCATCTCGTTTAATCATTAAAGACATTTTTTCAAGAGAAAAGACATAAAAAAAAATGCTGGTTTAAAGCTCTCAAATGTGAGGATTTACAGCTTTTCTTCATCTTATATAATAGTAATTAAAGAGGATTGGGACAAAAACTGTTAGTCGAACAAAACGAGCCATTTGAAAAAAATCACAAGACAGGTATTATTCACAATTCCCTGACAACAGATTATAGAATTGATGTCAAGAGATTATCATTGTGAAATACAAGGTAAAATAGATCAAATAAATAAGTTAAAAGGCAGCAAAGATAAGTGAAGTACAAGCAAAATAATCCGCACTAACACTGTGGAGCTTTGTTCATCAACCAATTTGTTTTCTAACGCTTCAGAAGTCAATGAAAACAAGCCGACTAAACTGAGTCAACTGAAACTCACAAAGTGCTGATGTGTAGTTACACTTAAACAATCCTAATACATGCTGACACACATGGAACCAGACCTCATATTCAGTACAAATGCTTAAAAACTAATGCAAAAGACGGCGTATAAACTGCCTAAATTGAAATCTTTTGCATTATTTTGGTTAAAATCCTAAAGCATGCTGCTCACAGACTGAAACACTAAGATAAAGGAAGGTACAAATTAATATAAATTGTACTAACGTTGAGCTGCAACTAATGATTATATTCACCATCGACTAATCTGCTTGTTTTAGATGTTCAGTTTACTATCAATTATGAGGAAGAAAAGCAGCAAGTGTTCCTATTTGAGAGGCTGGAACCAGAGAATGTTTGATATTTGTTCTTTAAAGAGGTGTGTGTGTGTGTGTGTGTGTGTGTGTGTGTGTGTGTGTGTGTGTGTGTGTGTGTATTTAATGGTAAAATTACCATCTTTTTACATACTTTGTGAATACTACACATGAACTGATAGACAAACTGACTGCTAGATGCTGATAAAAGTCTTAATATTATTATGAACATTATTATAAGAGGCTTTTTCATTGTGTCTACTGTATATTTAAATACCTGTAAACATACTTAAAACATGTAATCAGCTCTTAGAGTGTTTCTTCTCCTCCTTAAATTCAAATGTTGTTTGTCACATGACTCGGCTCAGACATAATGCGGCTCAGAGAAGGTGTGAAAGTTCTCATGGAGAGCAATAACCTCCAGCTCCAATAGGAGAGTGCACTTCATTTGACCAACGCGCGTTTTAGGGTAGGCGATTGTAAAAAGAAAAAGAAAAAAAAAAGAAATCCTCCTTTGCATTTTATTTGCAAAGGCGAGGGCCCCTCTACTCCATCTAATAGTCATTAGCTTTCATTACAAGCGTTTGAAGTAGAGGCTTCCCTTTGTGTCGCTCTGAAAGAGCCGCATTTGAGATGCACAATGACTTCTGACACGGGCACTGGCAAGAGGAGCTCGCCTGAAGTGAAGCGGTCCTGTTGTTGGTGAACGGACTCTTTCTCTCCCAGGAAACAGCAGTTCCTGTTCACGTCGTGTTCAGCCGCAGAAAAACACCACGAGGAGGGTTAGAGAGAAGCTCGAGGAGCTGCAACCGCGTCTCACCGGGAAACCGCTGCTTCCCCAACCGCGCGTAATTCATCCAACGTGCGTCTTTTACGCACAACGAAAACAATGACAGTGTCGAAAAATAATGATCATGTCTTTATGATATTAGAACCAGGACTAAAGTCTATATGATACTCAGTAGTAGACACACTTGTGCTATTTTTTAATTAATTTATCTCTTAATAAAACCATTTCCGGTTCTTTTAATAGTCTTCAAGAACGTTTGGGTTATTTTAATATGTTATCTCATATAACATCGCCCCATACTCCTCATGAAGGAGACTGTGAATGCATGCGGCTGCAGTGGCTTTAACATTTGCTTACAGGCGTTTTTATAAAAGGGCTCCGGTTAACGGCATTGTCGTTAAACATGTTGTAAGAAAAACATCGCTAATAAAACTAATTAGATATAAATACATACATATTCCTGATATAAAGGCGTATTTTCCTCTCCAGCCCGTGTTAAGAGTGGGGTGTTTGTTTATGCAGAGGAGGGGAGCCGGTGGAGGAGCGGAGCCGCGTACAGGTGGCTAAACGACCGCACTTCTCATGCAGGTGGCACAAACGCAGCGACGTGCTACTTTTCCCATCTCGTTATAATGGGGTGACATTTTCCAAGTATTTAAGTGGAATAGATTAGGCTGAACACACAACGCTAATGCGAAACAAAATGGCCAATTAGTTTATTAATGAACGCAGGAGGTGAGAGGAGGGGAACCCCGAGCTTCAGCTGGACTCTGATGGTCAATCTGATGGTTTTAATCAACATCCGGAGAGAAAGAGAGCAGAATTAGATCTACAAGCCAGTTCATTAATAGATAAAAACCAGCATTAATGTCCTGCTGATCCCTGTCAAATAGTTCCTCACATAACTTATAAAATGGTGTCTAATCATCTATCAAATTTAAAGCATTAAGCATTATATTATAAAGGAATACGCTGTTTAATAATGATTTAAAAGATTTTGAAAACAGTCACCTGACCAAATAAAAAACATTGAGATGTTTTCAGGTATATAGATTCATTAATAAAACACATTTATTTCCTTAAAAGCAGATATTGGTAAATTATCATTAGTTATTAGTTCTTGTTGCAGTGTTTTTAACTTCAGTTTGACGTATTTATGAGGCTAGTTGATCAAGATCTAAGATTTAGTCTTTTCCAGACCTGGTTGAACACTGAAATTAATATTTGTCTGCAGGCAAACATACTAATTATTGTATCATAGCCAACTACAAATGGAAGCACATTTCTGTAACATTAAAAATGTAGTGTTTTGGCTGTTTGGGGTTAGTTTTAATATAGAGGTTGGACTCTAAATGTTTGTTGAGTCTGTAGGTCAGTATATTTACTGTATTCATGGAAGAAAAATAACATAATGTTCATTAATAAGTTTTGTATCATCAACCTAGTTTTACATTAGTGTCTCATCTGGGTAACATTTGAGGACTCTTGGACAGCAGAGGTCAACAGCTCCAGTCTGCAGGAAATCCTTTAAATCCTATAAACATGTTCTGCCTCAGTGTAACCACTGGGTGGCAGCATTGACCTAAAAAAAAAACATGAATCTCTGTGAACAGGGAGCTCTGGGTGCAGCAGACTGGTGAGTGACTGACAGATTATATGGAGAAAACACAGTTGATAGAGGAAAAAATGTAATTTTTTAATAGAACTTTTCTCTGAATGTAATATTCTCTCCGTCTGCAGGCCTCTAACATTGGAAATAACATCCATTATATCAAAAGTTGACATAACTTCTGTAAAATTATAATCTACTGCAAGATTGTGTTTTCTATCACCATCATTATATAATAACTTGGATGTAAAGATCACAGTAAAACAATCTGTCTCACTATGAATAATATTTAGATTTAAACTCACTCATACTAATGATATTATAATGTTTATAATGTTCTCCATTAAGGCGAGACTCTGCAGAAATCATATGTTCCTCATTATTCATCAGTTTAGAGACAATCATGAGAACATGTTGTTCAGACAGAAGCCACTAGAGGGCAGCACTTATATTAAATTGAGTCATCTGTCTTCATCTCTCTCTTTGTCCCCCCCAAAAAACAACACTGTGGATCTTTTAAAGGGACAATTAACTAGTACAATGTCTTTATCTTGTATTTCTTTAATGAGCCACTTTGCACAATGATGTGATTGAAGGGTTATATTAATTAGAGTAAACTTTAATGATCAGAAAATCTGGTTATCCCCTAAAAACAGTAATGTTTTTTTTTCTGCAGCACTTTTTACATTTTCTCAAATTATTAGGAGACAGAAGTCAGCAGAAATCTTATATTGTGATAATTTAATCAACAGATTGATGTGCTTTAATTGTCAAACTGTTTTATTTGTAGGAACTCCCTGGAAGGCAGTACTGGTGGGGATTATCCTGGTTAGATAAAGTGTATCTTTTAATCATTTACAGCAAGAATTCAGGGTTTTTTAAAAATCTAAATTGAACAGTTTTACATGTGACCAAATGCCGGAGATCAACTGCACCCTGAAATTTTAGCTTTTACATTAAATAAATACTCATACTCGTTGGGTACAAACATAATCTTCCCCATTCTTTCCTGCATAAAGGAGGTGTGATGGTGAAGCAGGTTCTCTGTGGCTTTTCCCACCAGAATGATAATACAGTGTTTCTGAGAACACATCAGTTTGGGTGAATTAACAAGCTAATTAAAAAGGTTTGCACATAGAAACAGTGACACTGTGGAACACCAATAACTATAATTATTTATCATCTTTTGTGTGAACTGTTAACTCTCTTTTTAGTTCACTTAATTGGCCAGTGTGTAACATCCTACAATTAAACCCATTCTCTCTTAACTCCTATGATTAATATATAATCTGATTATTGTGATATTCACACAATATTCTGAACCACATAGGACATCAAATAAAAACTTTCTGCTCTTTTACAGGAATGTTAACAGGATATTAAATGAAGATTAAAATCGCGCTAATTGTTAAAAGTCCCTAAAAGAAAAAAAAATTAAATTACTACGGAGGTTTTTCACAATAAAAGATATTTCCACTGAAGCGCTGCTCAGTTTAGTTGAAGATCACTTAGGTCAGACTCTCAGTGGGTCCTTGGGGGGGGGTACTACGGAACAACGGTACACTGCACCGCTTTGTTTTGGTTAATGCGGAGCGGTTTGGGCCATCTATTAACCAGCAGCGATCAGGGTGAGTGCGTAAAGGCCCACAGGGTTTCATCATTAAACTCAAACAGCGTTTTCAAACCGGCTCGGGCAGCCCTCAAGTTCCTGCTGCTGCACTGTGGGTAGAAAATGCGGCTTAAATATAAAATCCCCGCAATAAAGAGTTGTGTGAGCGAGTCCTGAAAATGTTTGCTCGCCCTTTACTTCTCCCACAATGACGTGTTTTACTTAATACACGAGCTGTTTTATATAATAACCATATTGTCAGTATAAAAACAGATCATGGAGGTAAATCAAATACCTCCACAGAGGCAGAGTTAGAGGTTATCATGGCAACTATTTCAATCCGGTGATCATAATCTACATGAGTAAGCATTTTAATGGGACTGGCCTTTGATGGGAGTCATGCAACAGAGGGGATGTATTTCCAGAGAAAGGGCATCAAGAAGTTAAAGGCTCACCCAGCAAATACATGCAGATTTTTATCTGTCCACACAATCCTTAACAGTGTTTTAATAAATGATACAGAGGGAAGCAAAAATATGGAGCTTTATTTCTCGGACACGGAGCCATTCCCAGAACCTGCTCCCGTCTTTAGGAGCCTTTAGCTCTAAACGCCTAATCAACAGCTTGTTTTACCTCATAATTTCCATCGGTAATGATTTTCTAATGCAACCTCTAAGCAAACGGGCGTATTAAGGGGATAATTATTAACTTGGTTAGTGCACCGTGGAAGCTGAGCGCCGAGGGATAAAGCGGCCGTGGAGCTCCACACACAATCACAGGCTGCCTCTTACTTCCACTGGTTCCTGCTGTTGTGGTGGACTACATGCGGCTAAAGGTCCTTCTCATGGAGGACGAACGGACTCCTCCTCAACACATGATGGGCATTGTTTAGTCCGTTTTCTCCCCCCCCCCCAAAAAAAAGGTGTTTATGCACGAATCTAATTAGAAAACAAGAATGATCTCATTTGATTTGAATTGATGCATTTAAGAAGACTACAGTGGAGTTTGCTTGTCTTGGGTGTATTGTAGAAGTATAAGCTATATATCATCATTTTAAATAATGTCTCAATTTATCAAAGGCAAAATAAAAATAAAGACATCATCATAATCGTTATTAATATAATTAGAATTATTAAACTAATGTTTGTTTGGAACGCACATAAGTATTTATTAGGCAGGATACAAATAGTGACAGAAAAATCATTTTATTATATTTATTTGTAAACAGACGCAATAAGAAATTAAATTACCAATTAAGCGTTAAAAGTCTGAATAAAAGCGTCCAATAATCCTTTCTGAAAGGAGAAATTAAAGAATACAAAATGACTTTTCCGTTTGCACGTTTACCTGAATGTGAATGAGATTTAACTGAGGGAAAAGGAATTGTTAAATATAAAGTTGTTCTGGCTAAAATGTTGTTTTTAATTAAAATGATCTGATGAACTACAGGTTGATAATTAGACATCAACAATCCAACCCCAGGCTGTATTTATCAGAGAATCTGAGCGCCTATTTCAGACAATCTAAAGGTCATGTTCAGCTCTAATTTGCTCCCCTTAACAGTTTTAACGATGTGGGTGAAAACACGTCTGAACGCTGTTAAAACAACTTGAAAAAAGAAACCCCACACATTTGGCACTTCACTGTGGAAAAGAGTGAAATTCCCACTCGTGTCCATGAGACATTTTCCTGACACACAGGCTTTTAGATATCGTCTAGGGAGAATTCCTGTATGATTGAACCAGCCACCCCCCCACCGGCAGACTGTTTCCCTTCAGAAAAACAAGATATTAAGGCTGAATAGGACACACAATGAGCCATTAATTGGAGCACACATGTTTTCTCAGCGTGCCTCTGTAACTAAGCTGCCCGGTGTTGTGTGTGATCTATGAAGCAGGTACTTGAGGGGACCTATTGGCAGGTGCTGTGGTCCAATCAGCTCTCTCCGCTGCGCAGCGTCGAGCCACATTGAAGGTTGGAGGCGCTTTTACTTGGTGCGCACTTGTGCACAGAAACCCTCAGAGTGCGCACAGGCTCCATGGATCAGGGCAATTTGCAGCACTGTTGAGTTTTGTAGCAGCATCTCCACAGGACAAGCTACAGTGTAGGCAGACCCCCTCCACCCACACACACACACACACACATACATACATACATACATACACACACACACACACACACAAAACACCCCTCCATCTTCGGTCATGACGCTTCTCTGAGAGGGAGAGCTTATCTTTTCAAGCAAGAGGAAGGAAAAAAAGACTGATCACTTTTCTTTTGGTGCTGGTTTTTCTATTTGTGGCAAGAGATGATGTTTTCGTCTGCAGGGAAGCGCTGCTTCACGATAGAGTCTCTGGTGGCCAAAGAGAGCCCTCTAACCGCCGAGGATCCCATCCGTCCGACGGCTTTAAGTTACTCCAACCCGGCGACAGACGCCTTAATGAACAGTTACCAGGCTCCGCCGCCCAGGTCCCTCTATCAGACCCCGGACCTGGTGTTCCCAGAGACGGTAAGCCACCCCTCCCTCACCGTGGCTCCGCACCAGCTCGGAGGCTCGCACCTACAGCATCCGCATTTCTTCGGAACGCAACACCGAGACCCGCTCAACTTCTACCCCTGGGTCCTACGGAACAGGTTTTTCGGACACAGATTTCAGGGTAAGTGAAGTGGCGATGCACTGGGCTCTGACATATGATGAAGAAACTTTATGATCATACTCGTAAACAGTTTGTTAAAGCCTCAATGATCCGCTTAAAATGTTTATTAAACAACAGGCTGCACTTAAATGTTGGATTAACTAGATTTAGGTGGCGGATAAATGTCATAAAGGTGTGTGTGTGTGTGTGTTTGCATAGGCTAATTGAAAATAAACTCCATAGAGGCTGAAACAGCGAGCTTCTATCTCTGCTTTTGAGAGGTTTCCACATTTCAATGAGATACTTGCACATGACTTTTGAACACGATATGACTTGTGGACACTGAAACTCTTCCTCAGTTGAACAATAAATTGCAGTCACAGATAGTAAACGACAAGGCCACCGTGTCTGCAGCAGGACGTCGGGCTGCTCTCATATTTCCACTCTCATTCGCCCTGCAGCCACTCTCAGAAAGCCACAGCCAGGAGATGATAAGCGCTGCTGCTGGATTTCCTTTTTCCATACAAGAAAAGTCGCCCTAGGTTAGGCTGCAGTGTTTTTCATTTCATTTAAAAAAAATGTGGTACAACAGCCAAGGCTGTAGAGACAAAGTAGATAAAAAAAATCTTGGATAATAATGTCAGTATAATGGGAAATAAAAAGGCAAATAAGGTAGAAAATCCTGCCCAGTGTATTAGCAGCGATTTACTTACCAGAACAACCTCAGCGCAACTGTGCATGAACCCAATTATGTCTCGTTTACACTATATGAGAGCAATTTTACTTTGATTTTCCTATTACTTTTTTATTACATTCATAAAGGTTAAATTCATCCTAAAATAATAAAGACAGCATGATGCACGATGATCGATTAAAATGTCCATCATTTATTATAATAAACTATAATAACCTACAGTTTATCCTAATTACAATAGACTCATCTATTAATATCACATAATGACTTGTGGTCATTATTGTATATATTAAATGGGATACAAGAGGACAAAACCGAAGAAAGGTTGAATAATAGCTTCTCATAACAATATAACTATAAACAACAGAGAAATAAAATTAGGTTGTAATATTCCAACGTTAGAGAGATTACAGACTTTTTGGGATGTTTTACCACAAACTAAACATTTCAGCTTCTAGCTTGAGAATATTTTCACAGTTTGACTTATTACACCTTCCTGACAAAATACTGGGAAGTATATCAGGGTGAAAGCTAATTAAGCTGTCAGTTAATTAACCAATATTTACTGTAAAAAAAAACTATCGCTCACAGAGCACAAATATATTTGTTTGCTTTAAAAAAAAAAAGTAAATTAAATTAGTGCCACACAAGTGTTTATTCGACTGTTTATTATTTATTTGTCATATCTGATGTGCATTTTCTACAAAACTAGAACCGAGTTGTGCACGGAGGTCACTTATGTTTAATAAATAGATTTTAATAAATGTAACCGGTCAACTTACACACAAAAAATGCATAAACTTTTATAGTAGGGTCTACAATATGTTTTTTATCAGGCTGGTGCAACTATTGGCAAAGATTCTCCGTCTCCATACGCTATGTTCAAACTGGGCTTGGTTTATAGGCCCTATGTGGGTTAAAGAACAGAAGGCCTAATAGAAAACCAGTAGAAAGGGAACTCATGATGGCCGTTTAAAACCGCGGTAGGGTGCCAGCTCAGGTATTAAAAAATAAATAGGATATGATGTTTTTGATAGACTTCCATACATTTATAAGCACTTTTTTTTGTAACTGCCATTCTTATGGCAGTATCATTATTTTCATTGTTATTATATTATATTATATATATAAATATTATTATAATATAATAATATAAATAATATAAAAATAATAATATTTTCCAAATAGATTAAAACTGTTGCTTGACCTTTGTTTCCCATTACCACATTAATGACAACTACACCCTCATTAGGTGACACTTTGCGGTACAGTAGGCCTGTTAACACCGTTCACACTGTTTCTGATCATACAGGTTTCAGCCCACTGACAACCAACCCGGGCACAGTCACATTATAATAACGTTACCTGTTTTCCAGCCACAACTGACGGCCCTTGTTGTTTCTTTTAATTCGGTGTCAGGTAACGATGTGTCCCAGGACAGCCTGCTCCTCCACGGTCCTTTTGCCAGAAAACCCAAACGCATCCGGACAGCCTTCTCTCCCTCCCAGCTCCTCCGACTGGAAAGAGCCTTCGAGAAGAACCACTACGTCGTCGGAGCCGAGAGGAAGCAACTGGCAAACAGCTTGAGCTTATCTGAAACACAGGTCAGCTAATGTTATGCTAGCATCTATGATATACAGGTTTGTTTGTTTGGCGTCGAAACACGGATAATTATCACTTGTTTTGGCCCATAAAATCACAAAAAAATTCTCTTTTTTTGGGGGTATCATTTCTCACTTTTAACTTCACTCATTTACGTTACCGAGGGCAGCGTTTCTATGGCTACCACGTTCTTTTTCAGAACGTTCCAGAATCGAACGGTTGGCGTTGACTGCAGTCGAATGTCGCGATGACTCAAACAAAAAAAACAACAATAACGTAATATTAAACGGCGGGAAAATATATCCAATAGAAGAGAGTTAGCCAAATGTTTCTAAAAAAAATAATTCCAGCGCAAGAGAACCTGAGGAATCAGGATGGATGTGATAAATATCTGGGTGGTAATTAAAACGTTTTAGATATATTTTTCTTTGGATAAATATATCAATATCATGTTCCTCAAACAGTTAACTTACCATCTAGTGCACCATTTGTTAGGCTAGATGGAAATATCTCACTACCTGAGGTTACTCCTAAAACTGTTATGTCAGTTATATTAATAATCATAATTTAAAAATATAAATTGTAGATTAATTTAAGTAATTTATTTGTATTTTATGTCTTCTGAGCTGTTAGTATTGTTAATATCTGTTTTAAATAGTTTGTTTATAGGTGTCTTCTGAATATAGGCTATTATTGCAAAATATGAGTCTGCTCAAATGTTAATGACAGAAGAAATTATAAAACAGTGTGAAACAATTTTGTAGTGGCTATGATGAGATCCTCTCAGAATATTAATCATATAGCGTATATAACATTTATTAAATCCACAGTTTGCAACACAGTACTGAGAACTGCTGTTGACATTGGAGATGCTGCAATGTCCCAAAAATATAAATCTCTGAACTATAATTTAAATAAGTCCCTTCCCCCACATGAGACATGGCTGCAGCTGTCAGTGAAAGCTTCTCTTAAAAAGGTGTTTAATTCATACATGCTATAGGATAAATATTATTGATGGTTATGCTTAATGAGTCCACATTATCTGGGTGTCATTTAGGCCTAATAGGCAATATAAAGAGAGGCTTCCTGAGTCAGCAGTATGGATTAATGCTGCTTGCAAGTTTAAGGTTTGTGTCAGTCAATAGGAGGCAATTAAGCACCAATTGCATTATGCAAATTATAAGCGAACAGAATATCAATCAGTGTACTCCAAGTTTATTTGGTCTTGGGTTAAAGTGTGTACAGCAAAAGCAGCGAGTAGCACGGAGGCCAGCGGCAGTAACTTCTCTACAACTGGATGAGAACATGGTCAGTCTCACACATCTGATGCAACTATCTGTTTTCTACTTCCTTAGAGTGGGCACTTACCCCTGCAGAAACATTTGGACCCGTAGACTGATCAAGTCACCGGGTTATGAAATAGGCCTTATTACTCAATATCACCCTCAGCGGGTGAAGGGATGGTCATACTGTGAGAAAACAAAAAGTGAAAGGCTGCAGCAATATTGCTACACCTTTTCCTAGCCATCATTATAGTTTTGTTCTTTAAAGTCTTCTGCCTCCATTTTAGACAAATGGACAGAAATACTCCCATCCAGCTCTGGGAACTAGAACAGTATTTTTGTGGCTCTTTCAGTTTAAACAGTTTTTACTGCGCAGAATTAGCCGGAAGCGTAGTAAAAGTCAAGAGGAGGGAACTATTAGCGTGTGTCCATATTTGAAAAATGAATCTTGGCCAACGTATAGGTTAGTCAGCCAAGCTCATGTTCCAAGGTCACTGTCAGTCAGGAAGCTATTACCATGCATTAATGCTCAGTTACGAATGTAAGAAGATTTTAATTTTTTTAATTAAGCAAACTTTTTAATTGAGCATTCTGAGAGTATTCTCCTAAAGGGGATGTTGTTTTTGTCCCTGATTGGTGGATAGAGACTGTTTAAAAATGTGTTTATAACGGTAGAAAGTCAAGATAACCACTAAAATCTACTGGTTTCCAGAGGGGTAAATATAATGACATTCTGGGAGAAAATGAGAATTGTGTCTTTATTGATTTTAAGTGTGTGCCATACCAATAGGCAGACATTTTAATTTGTCATAGCAGGAAAATCACAGGCGGAGCTGAAACACTTAGCCAACTGAGTAGTAGAACAACAACAAAAATATTAACTCATTTCATAATCAATTAATTGTTGACTTTACATTTTTGTCAAGCAAAAATGCCCAACATGTTGTCATTCCAGTTTGTTAAATATGAAGATTTGCTGCCCTTCTGTTTTAAAGCATAAAGTAAAAATCTTTGGGTTTAGGACAGTTGGTTAGAGACAAAATCCAAGGCACCTTCAGAAAATTGTGCATTTCTTGCTATTTTTATACATTTCTGACATTTTATAGAGCAAATGATTCATCGATTAATTGAGAAAACAGTTTGCAGATTAACAGATAATTTAAAAAAAAATTTTAGTTGGAGCCTCAATCACATGTATTACTAAAAACATTAATGATGGCTCCATTATATTTAGTAGTGCTAGCATGCACAACATCCGGGCCCTAGAACTAAAAACGCCTTGTTCCTGTTATTAGTCACAATGTCCACCTTGAGAAAGGTCTGCTGCATTTTCTTTATATTTAAATGAAATCACTTTGACCTTCTGAGCCTCTCTGAAATTCCACTACAGCCCATCATCATCATCATCATTAAACCTGTTTATTCCTCTGCCCAGGTGAAGGTGTGGTTCCAGAACAGGCGGACCAAGTACAAACGACAGAAGCTGGAGGAGGAAGGACCAGACAGCCAGCAGAAGAAGAAGGGAAACCACCACATCAACAGATGGCGCATCGCCACCAAGCAGTCCAGCTCCGAGGACATAGACGTGACCTCAGAGGACTAAAACAACGGTCCAACCTCCGACAATGCTGCCCTAAACCCTGCGTCCCCTTCTGACGCATCAGAGGACCAACACTATTTATTATGTAATATTATTAAATATAATTAGACACATTAGAGGAAGACACAAGGACTGAATATGTGATCGCGGCGCATCTCTTCATCGAGGTGCTACACTCTGTGACACAGGGAAAAAAAAAAAAAACCCATCTTATTTAATGACATCCATCCTGAACGTCTCTGGATGAGGAGGGATCCTTCCATCATTTAATGATCTTTGGTGTGTGACGACCGAAGATGAAGGGAAACAACGTCAACCTCTATCATAGTGTTTGTTGTTTTTGTTTTTTTTAAAATTGTACATAGGCAACTTATAAAGGTTGTTTTTGAAAGAGGCTATTTGTTTCATTAAAGCTGTTTCTACCACCTGCTTAGGTCATTAACACCTCATTGCTCACCCCACCCACTCCGCCACCTGTGAGCCATGTTAATTTAAATTTCTCCTCAATGACGAGAACATGTTGTCGCACACTTTTCATCCGCCCAGTGAGTCAGAGAACAGGCTGGCGACTGGCCAGAAGAACAAAGCAGGAAATGAACCATGTGTCAGAGAAGATCCGAGTTTCTCACTTGCTGCATGATTTTATTTTCACTGGTGACTTGAGAGCCATTCCAGCGCTCCGTTACGCTCCCTAATGAAGATTCTCCACAGAGAGGCGATTCATAACCAGCTGTGCATGACTCTGGGACAGACGAGACGCTGCAGAGACCTCTGGTGTTAGGGGCGAGTTGTGCCACATAATAAAAGCAAGTTCACAGCTTTGTGCTTCTTCTGCCATGCCACATTTTTGTCAGTGTGGGGTGATGGATGACGTCTCCATTTGTTGAATGTCTGCGCCGTGTGTAGTACAGAAACGTATATAAGAACATACTTTTCAAGCAGAACGTGTAATTACAAAAAAAAAAGATGTTTTAGAAATAAAAACAAAAAGCTATTTCTCTGATGAGAAATGTAATGTTTTTGTGTAATCCAGATGCTCACTTCATGTACATCATGTCAACCAGGCTGCAGAGTCTGAAGGCTTTCCTTAAAGCCAGTCATTATAGCGGCAGATTTCACTCATTAGTTCCTTCTCTCCGGCTGGAGGTGCATGTGCAAATCAGTGTGAAACATGCTGCTGCAGTGTTTGATTGGAACGAAAACCTAGAGCCACTCGGGCCTCCGTGGCACAGGAAGTGGTACAGTCCAGAAGTAGAACAGCCCAAGCAAAGAAGGATTTTCCATTTTCAGGTTGTTTTATGCTTTAAACTAGAGCTAAAAGAACTCCCTCCCCCGAAAAGTGAAAATCAGGGGATAATTAAGGATTAGGGATTCATGACAGCCTGAAAAAAGATCTAAACCCCTTAGCAGGGTCCTCTTAGGTTGGGAACCTCTGATCAAGACTAAGGTGTCAGGAATGTTGCAGGACAGTTGCACAGGTGTCAGGTGTGTTACCTATGGGCCGGTATTTCCTCCAAATTCCAGCAGAAGGGGGGGAAACAGAAATAATTCCCATCCAGAGGATTCAACCTCTGAAAAAAAGAGGGAAAGTTGTTACTATTGTGTGGCGGCCCTTTCACCAAAGCGCCTCAGTAATCACCTGTCAAAAGAAACGGAAGGAATCTCCTCCTAATGACCCCGAGGCTTTAGAGATGAGCCCTGACGTCTGACCCTGATGTCTTGTTTTGTAAGCTAAGAAACAGAGAGGCAAGCAAGGCACAGGGGGGAGAGGCGGGAAACTAAAATACACTGCAGTAGTTCTTACAAAAGGCACACAATATGCCAGACATCTGCAGTTGCAACGGGGGCCACATGCCTTGTTTTGAGTTTCCAGGATATCCTATACTCACTGCAGGTGCAAAAACATGTTAAAAGAGATTCAGCATTCCTTATTACCCAAATAAACACCACCAAAGGTGCATTTTAACCAGTGCGGTGGCTCACTGAGACACTATAAGCAGCCTTTGGTTAAGGCCAACCACATCTTGGTTGGGTAAAACAATTAAGAGGAAAATCACACCCATCTCCCTAAACACTTTGTCTCCTGTCTCCTGAGTCAGCACAGAGGAGAGTTCAAGATGAGAGCAGGAATCCATGGCGAAAAACAAGAGTCTCTCCAGAGGAGCAGAGAGCTGCCAGGTGGGGCACGAGCAGTCAGATCCCTGCTGCTGCTGCTGCTGCTGCTGCAACGGTGTTGGAAAACTGGTCTGAAACGGCTGCTTTAATCATTATTGCCTCATTATTTGTTGTCTGTGGGATGACTGAAGCCTCACATTTTCCCACCTCACACTACAAACTGCATGTGTTTTATTGTTGGTTATAAAATTGCATGTTGAGCGATAAATCATGCAGTGTAGTCACAGTTGTCACATTGCATCAGTTTCAGTCAAGCAGCACTGAATTAACAATCACAACCTAATTACAGAAAAAGAAAGATAATAAGAAATTATTTTTAAAATGACTATTACTTTAATTACCTAATTTGAGATATTTGCATACAATTCTGACACTGACAATTAAACCAGAGTGCAGCAGAGATCAGATAACATTTGTTTTTCATTCATATATCATTTTAAAATGTCTGTGTTCAAAAGTTATGACAGAAGATACAAATGTTAAATTTAAAAATGCAAAAACCATCTCCAGAAAACTGGTATTAAAACTGAACTCGCTGGATTATTATTTGAAGTTATGAGCTAAATTGTTAAAATATAGTTCAAAAGGAAACAAAATCAAGAAATATTTCTGTAGAATCTCCGCATTACAGAGGGAAATTCAACCACATTTGATGCTAATTATGCGAGAAAGAAAAATAAAACCCTGAAAAATCTGATGTATTTAAACTACAGTGTGTTCAGTGTTGTGTTTTTATTTGTCTCACCTGGGTTGTGTGCCACAACTTCCACCCAGCATCCTCCACTCATCCTGCATGTGGCTTCTTGTCGAATTACGCTGTATCGCAGCCTACCGTGCTGCGTTCCCTTGGCAACCGTGCAAACATGCTAATCACACAGATCGTGACAAAAGATAATACTCGAAGACAGAAAAGTTTATATAAATCATACAAATACATACAAAAAATACAGAGCAGCATTTTCACAATGCTTTTAGAAAACATTTATAGAACAAAAATCTCCTTATTTTACTGTGAGTTTTATAGTTTCAGCAAATCTGAAAGATGAATCATTTTACAGGCATCAAACTACAACCAACAGCAGTTGTTTTATTACATAAAAGTGACTCAACTTCCAGATTCCAGTCAGAGAGAGCCAAAGCAAATATTTGGATTTAAAGTTACTCATTCTTCATCTTATATCTGCTTACTGATCTTTTCTTTATACAGTTCACAGTGGAGTTTAAAAGGAATTTGTCACATTTTGGGTACATTTGAAATGGAGTTTCTAGTTGCCCTGGTTTAAGGTTTAGTTTGTAAACTCTTTAACCGGCAACAGAAACTACCTGCTATAACTTCATACCTCAGGAAAAATACTTTACTAAAACAATGCTTTCCATTCGGCTAGAGTTTCTGCTTCCACTAAATCAAGACCACTACGAGGGGTTGCAAGATTAAAGTAGCGGTTTTCAATATGATTGTCCAGGTAGGAAATAAGAAAGAAATAATTTCTGAGAAACAAAACGTTTATTTTCTGACTTTTCTTGAATCTTTGCTTCTTTTATGTAGTTTTACCCTTGTAGGCCCTTTAAAGTTATATTACGAAACAATCTGAGAGGAGAAAATCCAGCTTTGATTGAGCGGCTCCTAACTTACAGACATGCAACATATGGTATTGGTTACAGGTAAAATGTGTGACAAACAGCATTATAATAAGTCATATTATATAAGTACTGTAGTGCTGCAGAGGTGCACTCGTCTACCAACTTGTTCTCCAGATCAGATCATCATGATTTTAATAGTTGTTGTTTTTTTTGGGAAAATTCAAATTTGTGATGGTTGAAAATTATAATTCCCACATAATCGTTAATCACAATGTCTGTCAAAAATAATCACAATATGATGTTTTTACCAAATAGTGCAGCCTTATTTACAGGTAGATATTGAATACTGATAAGGTTGGGGACTCCTGTATTAATTCATAAACAATGTAAAATACATTTAAGTCATTTATCCTGATTTCATTCACAGTATCTAAATGCAATCCAGACAACTACAAACAATAAGACATGTCCTGCTCCTATCCTCAGTCCCCTATTTTACCTCATGTTTATGAAAATAGATCTCTACTTAAAAGAAGAAAGATTAGCTACTACCCTCTCTCTGCTGAAAATAGCACACTAGCTAGATGGATCAAGAAAAGTCTCCCATTAATCTTCGAGTTATTTGGTATTCCAAGATATAACAGTGATAATGCTCGCCGAGGTGTGATCATGTATATTTTCCTATATCACAATATGTCATCATGTGTTATTGCTTATTTAACAACCATTGTCCTGGCGTAAACAACATATTAACTGCCTCCCTCTGTAAACATATGCTAACTGCTCACTGGATAACACAGCCAAATTTACCATAATTCATTCTCTGGCAGCTTCGGGGCGTTTGAACTGGTGACGAGCAGCGGGTCCTGTGTTCATGCGTCGGGCAGTCGAGATCACTCACAGGCCTTTATTGTACGTCACAATCTTACAATCTGTTGCCATGGCGATCTCCGGCTCTAGGTGATTCACGCTGATCTGTGGCAATCAAAGCAGGACAAAAAGGTCAATCGTGAAAAAAAATGGAAAATATTTTGCCATTGTCATACAATAGAACATCATTACATACTGTATGTGCATGCTGTATATGTGCATCCATAATCATCTACGTGAGCCGCTACTTAAAGATTTGAAACAGTTTCATTTGTAACTAAATAATTCTTAAAAGCTTTAAATGTTCTGTATTTACTGCTAATGTGCAAAAAGAGCCAATTTGGCAGATTAAAGTCTAATTTGAGGTTTGCATCTCCTAATATTTGAACCAGAGACAGATGGCTGTTGGAGTTGGAGGCAGAATCCTAATCAGACATCTTGGTAGGTGTGAAATGGGGAAGTGGGACAAATTGAGTAGGCGGGGGGTCCATTGGAACAGGGCATTCATGTTGCTTTTTGGGGAGTTCTTTTTTTTTTCATCTGCTATTCTTGTGAAAGTGCAAAAAGGACTTGTGAGAGAAAAACAGGCCCCTCCGTGGAACGGGAGGCAGCTTTTTCACAGGACTGTTGGCGGCACATATGTCTGAAGTTTTTTGCCATATGGCTGTCTTAGCTATTTCCAGTGGTAATTAAATCCTAAACATTTTAAAGCCAGAGCTGGTTGGCTCGTGTCAGCAAGTCATTTGGCAGAGAGAAGACAAAGAGAGAGATGGAGTGAAAAACAAAATCATGCCATAGCCATTTAATGAGCAGAATGACAGATATTGAGGTAATAAGGCTAAAGTTAGATATCAGCCTGCTAGCCTGGATGGCATCAATGAAAGAAGGCAGTAGCGGCTCTGGGCAGATCATAACAGAGCAGGTTAAGTCTCAGAGGGCTACGCCTCATTAGGAGAGAGCCTCTATAAAGCTCAATGGGGAACGTTAAAGAGGTCAGAAGACTCCGGTCATCAACATCAGTCATTGAGACCGAGTCGTGGCAGACCTGAGAAAAGCAGACATTTAATACAGTCAGGATGTGAAGAAGTAAAAACAAGAAGCTCTTGGTATCACAATGGACTAGGACGTTGATTCTGATATTTACTGAGTTAAGTTCTCTGAGCATTACCACTGTAATCATAACAGCCACATGGGCTTATTCATCCATGATGTTTGATACAATTACTGTTGTCTTGTTTTCAAATAATATAACACAATACGGGATAAACCTAAACCCAGTTCATGAAGGCTTTTACATTTACAACTGTCTGACAGCCCTTTCAAAGAAAGAAAATAGAAGCAGCTCTTTATCTGTAATGAATCATTGAAGGACTCCGTTAACATA